CATTCTATCCAGAGTGTCATTTTCTATCGAATAAAGTGAAAATATACCGAGGGTACAGTTTAAAAATCAAAAATTGTAGTAATTTCCGGTGAAAGAGGAAGTGACCAAAAACAATTGAATACGTCGATCAATCCTAATTTATGTCATATACTAACATACCAAATCTAGTTTTTTTTATCATCGAAAATAAAAAAGTGTTAGAGGTAAGCCACTTTTGAGACGCACCTGGGACCTGTAACTCAAAATCTACAACTGTAACAAGTGTAGAACTGGTTGAAGATTCACTTGTAGCTACAATTCCTGTTAATTTCTGTAACACAAAGTTCTCAAAATGACTTGTAATAACGGCGAATATTTCTGACAAGTGTAGCTAAAGCGCACAAGAGTGGTAGGACAGACGCACTAGATCGGTAAACGTTCGTTTGTGTATTATTGCGTATGGGGATAAAAGACTTCTTTAGACAAGTTCGTTCTAAAATTAATTTTGGTAAAAATGTCTTCGAAACAAGTGGTGTTTGCTAGAAAAATGCAATGGCTTATGCAAATTAAAGAAAATAAAGAGGTTCTTTTTATTTTCTTTTTTTTTCTTCACCTTGTCTTAGAAGACAAGGTGAAGCAATGGAAAGAGTTAGCTTCTCGTCCTCAAAGCGTATGCTTAATGTCCTTAGAGAAAGATTGGACATGCGCAAGAGATACCCTTTGGCAAAATCTAAAGAAGAGTGCAGTGGTAAGTGTTTTATGTTGTATTTTGGATTAAAACAGATTCTCAAAATTACAAAAATAGAAAGCGTCTAATCGCGTATCTGTTTTGTTAGTGTATGTTATAATCATAGAGTGTTTTGCAAAAAAATACCTACTAATCCATAATCATTTAGGCTCCTATTAGCTTGCACATTACCGCTGAAGAACGGAGTATTTGTTGGTATCTAGAAAAATAGATTGCTAACCCCATTGCCTAACCAGTGTAGAGCAATCAACATTTTCTGTAGAGCCCATACCATCGATTACTGCTGTTTTTGTAGCTCCGGGGAGAGGTCTTCTACGAGATCCTGGCATTGCGCTCTACTTAGTCGAAATCGCTCCTCAAATTCTTTATCGGAAAGGAATGCAAAGTCAGTTCTCTCTCTGAATCGATATGGCAAACTTTTTTCAACATTTTCGTCATCACTTGACCACATTGCGCTAGACGTGTGAATAAAGCAACGACTTCTTGTAAACTGTTTCTTGTAGAATTTTGTATCCACCTTTTAAGCATGGTTAAAATTTTCCTACAATTGTAATTGAATGTGTAACATAAACTTACAAGTGTTATCTTTGAGTTACAGAACAGAGCTACAATTGTAAAATATTTTCCGTAATTATAAGTCCTACACAGGTAAGTACAAGTTGCCGTGTGTTACGAAACTTTACAAGTCTATATCCAAAAGCGTACAAGTGTAGCACTTGTAGGTCTTGTGTTACAGGCCCCTGGTATGAGGAAGAAAATAATGCTATTAATAAATGTGTTGTAGTATTTAATAGAGACTTGATTTAATGTGTTAATGTGTATCACTGAATTTTTTCACTCAGTTTCGTTAATATTTTTTTTAAATCAACACAAGTACTTTATTCAAAACATATTTTGACTGAACAATAATTAAACTTTGATATAAATAATTATACAGTATTTAAGTAAAATAACCCTGATATATTATTTGAACAGGTCACATTTGTTCTAAATGGTGAATTGTTTCATGATTTTATTTTGAATATTGATATTTTAATGTCTAGTAATGTACAATTACAGGTCTTGGTTTAAAATATTCTAAATATGAGTAGACAGACAATCAGACTGAATAAATATAACAAGGTATAAAAAATCCTTCATACAAGTTTATATTTTAAAATATAGATCCACAAATGATTGTAATTATTTTTATGAAAGTGGATTAAATATATTTTTTCTGATATAAATATGTACAGGGTGGACCATTTTGGCTGATTCTATAGGGTATCTAGGAAACCGTGAGAAATATTCAAATTTTGATACTACAGTCTCGGGTTCTTTTTTTGAAAAAATTACATTGGCGCAAACGGATCGTGGCTATCTTGATCGGTTTCGAAGCTACAGGGGGATTCTCAAATTTTGTACTTTTTGAAGATGTTCGATAGTTTGTTTATTTCAGCAACCACGGAAAAATGAATTATACATTCTTAAGGCACTTTTCTATGCAGAATATGTTTTCTGTTCATTAACACCGCTGTGATAATGACTCACCGCATTCACAAGGTACCTGGTTTCGATGATCCCGGTCTTGTTTTTGTTAGGACGCTTCTTAGAGTCGTTACAGATTTAAAGTCAGTTTTAATGTCATGTTGTTTGGTTATTCACTTTTGTTTGATTTTTTGCACCTTCCTCAGGGTGGTGCGACAATGAGTCAATTTTGCAATTCAACATAATTTTGTTCGGAAATTTCTCAGAGTATTTTCAAGTTAATCTCGGATCTGTTTATAAAATAGATTCATTATGTACAGGGTGGACCATTTTGGTTGTTTCTATAGGGTATCTAGGAAACCGTGAGAAATATTCAATGAGAGAATCACGAGATGAAATAATGATTGCAGATCACGTGTATTCCAGGCAGCATAATATAAAGTGGTGAGAATCTCGGGATGCCCATAAGGAACATCATTGGAGAAAACGCAGATTTAAAGAAGTCGTTTTTATAGCAAACAACAACTGCCTTAGCAATTTAAGAATGGAAACCTCCTTGATATGGCAACCGGATCGCAGTGGATAACCCCACGCTTGACTGCACCCAACTTCATGTCTTAATGCTTTGCTCAGTAGTGGGGATTCTCAGTTGGGATTTAGATTAGGTTACACTTGATAACGATCAGTGATACATGTGACCGAAACGCTGTGTAAGTTAAAATTAATAAAGGCAATGGAAGTGCAAAATTCTTTTAGTTTCAGTAGGTAGTATTCTTATAAAAAATTGATCTTTTTATTATATTTTTCTTTTAAATTGCAATATAACAATTTTCATAACCCACTGCATATTAACTTTAAATCTTCTTCAAAATCCCTATCAAAAAATATTTCTAAAATCTGAACGCAACTCATTCGTGTTTTATTTTACGTTCTCACGCAAATCTTCTGAAGCACGCCAGCCCAGATTATTATAAAATTTAGAAATTAACATATTTCTGATATACTAATTTACATAGTGGCGTTTTTCGGTAACCTTTGCATAAGTAATCTCTATAATCATCTCGAATTAGAAATAATAAGTGATTTAGAAAAAAGGCAAAAAACAGAACTCTAAATCATATGGTCGCTCGACTTAGATACGCTGTTTAATAGTTCGTGGCACTGATAAACAAGCCTTTCTCTAATTTACATTGGACACATTTGAATAAGAAAATTAGTTTAATTATAACGGCGATTAGTCAGAAAGTTTATTGATATCTTAAACGATTTATTGCATAGGACGTATTAATACAGTTTCGGAACATGTTAATTACATTGATACAGAATATAGATAATAATGACCTTGTGATTACCTAAGATAATAAACACCCTATTATTAGTATATTTTGAGTCTTTTTTTAAATTGGTGATTAATTAATAACTATTTTACCAAACAAAATTTAAAAGCAACATAGGTATCAATTATCGTAAGAACTGCGCTACAGCTCGAAGACTGTGGCCAGACAAAGCAGCAAAAGGTGGAATCACTAGAAACTGCCCCACGGGGGTAAACGTCATGAAATGGAAGATTTCTGACGACGACTACTGCAGAGAATGCCGAGAGGATGAAGAAACCATAGAGCACCTGCTGTGCCACTGTCCGGCACTGGAATAGCGACGCTTTAAAACTTTAGGGCAAGGTTTTTTGGAGGAACTAGAGGAAGCAGCAGAAGCCAACCTCAGCGACATCGGGAACTTTGCAAAGAGCTGGAAGTGGTTTAATCCAAAGAAAGAATGAGAGGTAGGTTGGGTACAATATATAATAACAAGGGTATCGCAATGGACCTCCGAGTGAGGGATCAAACATGATCCCAAACCCCAGCAACCTAACCTAATCTAACCTAATAATCAATGAGATAAATATATTTTTTTATATGAATCTTGTTAACTGAAAAAGTATAAAGTATATCAAACATTTGTGATATAAGACAAATGCTTCAAATTGAAAAAACATAATTTTCATTTACACCAAGTTTCAAAATTTAGGAATACCTATCACATACTTCATAAAGCTGATCAAGAAACCATTTTTTAACTGTAAATACATAGGTTCACTCCTGGTATTGTTTTAAAATAATAATTTCTACATAAAGTTGAAGATGGTAAAACACAAAAAAAAATTAGCTTCAAGAGAAAAAAGTAGGAATGTGACATTTGTTTTGGTCTCTATATTTTAATAAGACAGAAAGAAAATAAACAAAAAAATAGTAAAAGTTTGGTTTTACCTTAGCTTCAAATATCAACGAAACGTTTACTATCTAAACTTTTTAAAGTTTCCTACTTTTTAAAGTTTTCAATGTTCAGTAATGACAAAAATATTTCACGTTCCTAGACCAAAGTGTAACGGATTTTGATACAATTTCAAATTCCCAATTACCTCCTCACTAAAAAGATGAGAGTTCATTTCATGTTTCTAGACCCAGATGTAATAATATTTCATATAGGGTATATATATGATTAATCAAAAATATTTCTTAAAAGGATGATTTTCCAAAGAAAATGAAATAACTTTCGTGCTTCTAACTGAGGTCACTCTAAAAACCTTGGGTTCAAATTTGGCGCTTTTAGGCAAAACGGTTTTGCCTATGCGTTGACAGCTAAGTTATTAACATATCATTCTGTTTTAATGCAAATACTCGCCAAGGTATTAATTTACGTTTTATACATATAATATAATTAATTTATTAAAATACTAAAGCATTATTAAATATCAATATGTGTCACAATGAGATAAATCAATAATAAAAATGCAACTGTCGATTCTTACCTGTGTGGAGGAATAGATGATTTTTGAGGTTCGTGTGTTTTGAAAATCCTCTCGAACAAATGTGACATTTGAAGGGCCACGAACCGGAATGGACGTACATATGTGACCTTAAATCACCAGGTGTGGGGAAGGATTTACTGCAGAGATTGCACTTATGTGGTTTATCCTGAAACAAAAATATTAATTGTCAATAACCAAATAATAATAAACCCTGAAATAAAAATATTAATTATTGTTACCTCCTATATTCTACGAGGTATATAACAACATATGAGATCTTTTGCTATAGAAACTAAAAATACAAATATGATTAAAGAAGGATTAAATGGTTTGGCCGAGAAGGAAAAGTTACTGAAAAACATGTATAAAGGAGTCAGATCAACATGCTCAATAAAAAAATTAAGACTTTTTCTGTACACAGAATATTATATTAAATTACATTGAATAATTTGCAGTATATTTTACTATTTAAGGCATAATTGTACATCTTAAAAATTGTCTTATGGTCATCAATAAACATAATTAAATAAGATATGAGATGCATTTTTTAATCACTATTGTTCATTTGAACTAGCTAAGGTCTGTTATGGCTTTGTATTAACATTTAGAACCATATAGTACATAAAATATACAATAAATATATAAAAATTTATGTAAAATAACGTATGTGGATACAGTACTTAATTTATGGTGGTAGTCGTCGGTGGAAGGGTGAGTGCATTTTCCAACCTTGGCCGTTAAAAACGGTTTCGTCGAATCAATAACCGACAAGTGTATAAAGGAACGAAGGTAGGACAAAAGGTATCCGTAAAAAAGTCGAAAAGCTTATGGGAACTGAAGAACTTTGCCATCTGCCCCATCACGCAACAGTTAAGACATCCGGTGGGGCGTTTGATATGGATCTTCATGGAAATTTAGATTTGTTTCGCCGTATCCGCCACTTTAGAGTTACTAAATACCGATAAATACACTTGTTTTTAATATTCTTGTAATTACATTTCGCAAACTTCTAAACTAAACATTTTCTTATTCACAATATACAGGGAGTTACTTCGAGAAATTTACAATTGGAAATATCTCTAAAGCGTAATTCAGAACCTCGAAAGTGGTGAAATAAATTAGTGGTTTCAATTATACTTTATATACTTAAGAGTTTACGATCATTCTCAATATCTAATAAATACAATTAAATTTAATAGAATATTTTAGCAACTGGTTCTATAGAGAAAGCCTAATAATTAGCTTATAAAACAATAACCTTTTTCTACTAATTGAAAATTATTGACATTAATTTTGATATTCGAAAAATATGTTTGATGGAAAATCAGAAAACAGATAATTACGATTTTAAGCTATTTTTATACGCATTTACAAAATGTTCTCGAAAGGGTTAAACTCTAAACACCGCTACGCTACTGATACATTACAAAGCACAAATACAAACTGGATGTTTCTGTTTAAAAATCGAAAGATACAACGTGAATGTGGGAACCGAGTACCAAAAGGTGATTCATCACTGTTTAATAAAAGGAAAAGAGCGAGCAGATATCCGGTGAGCGAATATCGTACGGCTCTTTATGGATATTTTCCTTCGAAATATTCAAATTTTCTTCTTCGTATGGATGTCCGTCTTGGTTTATTTCACACGATAGGTAGGTACATTTACTGAATAAACACAGGCTTTTAAACATCTAGTTTTTCTTGTTCTTTTGCAGAAAAAAATAATAATACTAAAAGCAAAAGAACAAGAAAATACTAAAAATAGTATTTCTGTTTATTAGGAATATAATATTGAGATTTAATTCAAAACTATAAAAATAATACTGTTTGATCAAAAAATGTATAATCAAGCGGCCTTTGATTTCAACAGACAAAAAAATCTAATTCAATTACTATATGTTTGATCGGAATTTTTTACTTAATTTCGTTAGGTTAAGTTAGGTTAGGTTGTTGGGGTTTGGGATCCTGTTTGATCCTTCACTCGGAAGCCTTGGGCCCGTTGCGATACCCCTGTATTATTGTGTACAACCAAACCAAACCCTCCTCTCATCCTTTCGTTGCGTTAAAGAACTTCCAGCACTTAGCAATGTTCCCGATGTCACTGATGTTGGCTTCTGCTGCTTCCTCTAGTCCCTCCAAAAAACCGTGTCCTAAAGTTTTAAAGCGTTTTCCAGTGCAGGACAATGGCACAGCAGGTGCCATTGTCCTGCTTTTTCTCCGCATTCTTTGCAGTAGTCGTCTTTCCATCTTACGAGGTTTACCTCCGCAGGGCAGTTTCCTGTGACATCTACAATTATGCCACTAGGTTCTTTTTGTGCTCTAGTAGTTGTTTTGTCTTTTTGCTATCTACCACCTACCACTACCCACAGTCTTCGAGCTGTAGCGCAGTCCTCATGGTGTTGCCACGTCTCTTGCTGTTTAACCTTGATGGTAGTTCCCATACCTTCTTTCAGTTTGTGGATCGTCACAAGTGGAGGGTCATCTGCCACGGCCTCTTCCCTGGCCCCCTATTTGGCGAGTCTGTCCTCTTCCTGGTTGCCTACCACAATGCTGTGGCGTGGCACGCAGCACAGGGTAGAACCGACCGCCTTGACGCAGACAGGGCAGTGCTTCCCGGCAGACCATCACAGTTTTCAATATCACTGTTTGCATAATGATTCTTCTTAAAGCGCCCAAGCTGTCAAAGCAAGCTGTCAGAGTATATAACGATATCTCCTATTCGTCCTTTATAGCGTAAATCTGCGCTTGTAGAACATTACAGCTGTGACTTAATTATATTACTAAACTTTAGGTTGCTTTCATTGATACTTATAAAAAGGATAAAGAAGGAATCAAATACTAGTTTTTTATGTATACTACACTACCAGTTAACATATTTGCACTTATTTCTGAGACACCCTGTATATAATTATTTTTCAGGCCTTGATGTTAAAAAAATCATGAAATCTTTATTTCAACCAGAATAATAAAAATAGTACTCTAACTTTTATACAGGGCAAGCTCTTGAAATATGTGCCAACTCTCTATCCATTCTCGTCCATTCAAACCATTGACTAGATACGCTACTGAATTTACACGTGCTGCTGGTTTATGATTTTTATCAATAGTTAAATACAAAACTGAATAGTCAGAAGCGAGAAGAACATGTGAAAGGAGATATTCAGTCCGGTACGCAAAATTATTCAAATGTTATTGCCATTTTGTATGATACAGCAAGTACAGGAAATTACTTACCATAGAGAAGCGATCGCGTTTTGCTTTCATAGAACACGATCGAAGATATGTAGTACAACTAATTCTACATACACACCTAAACGAGGTAACAAAATTAACGATATTTCATGGTTTCTCATACATAGTAATTTTACCAGATTGGCGATCCTAATCTGTATAAAATATGGGATTTCTTATGTAAAATGGTTCGTTACAAACGTATTTATAGCTCGAAATTGATGCATTATTTATAAATATTAATTTTTAATAGCTGGTAGATGCTTTCAAAATTATATTTAGGATAAGATATATGAGCCGAAGTCGAAAATTATAAAACAGCCCCAAATTTTATTAAATTTTACTTAAAAACGTCTTTTTTCATATTTTTGTTTGCGGTATTATAGGTTTGTTAAAGTTCATGGTTAATGGTATAATATTAATATTGCATTGCACATATTGATACAATAATTTGATTTATTTGTCCGTTACTTTGTGTAAATTTTTAGAAGTTAAAATAACATAACTGTTAGGTTGTTAGAGTCCACATCTGCTAGACCAGCAAACGGACTATACGCTCACCAAACATGATTTTGGAGAAAAGATAAGGATTCGCATCTCGACAAGAGAAGAATGGGAAAGCAATCGAGTAATGAATACTCAAGAGATAGCAGTCTACACATATGCTTCCGCAACTTCAGGAGGCACAGGTATAGGCATCTTTTCAGAGAAACTAGACATCCGACGATCTTTAAGGCTATCAGATGGCTGTAATGTTCTACAAGCAGAGGTTTACGCCATAAAGGAAGCGGCTAGTTGTATACGAGAGAAAATTGCTGATAGACCAATGGGTGATATCGTGATATACTCTGACAGCTTGGGCGCTTTAAGAAGCTATCACCATGCAATCAGTGAGATCGAAAACTGTGTGGAATGCCGAGAAACACTGTCCTGGCTGCATCAGGGCGGGGCTACTCTGTGCTGGGTGCCAGGCCACAGCAATCAGGAAGCAGGCAGACTCGCCAAAGACTGGGCTAGAGAAGAGGCCGTGGCAGATTACCCACCACTTGTGACGATCAGCACACTGAACGAAGCTATAGGAACTGCCATCCAGGCCAAGCAGCAAGAGACGTGGCCACACCGTGAGGATTGCGCTATAACTCGAAGACTACGGCCAGTGGTAGATAGAAAAAAGAGAAAACAACTACTAGAGCACACAAAGGACCTAGTACGCATAATTGTAGGTGTCGTCACTGGAAACTGTCCCACGGGGGTAAACCTCGTGAGATGGAAAATTTTCAATGACGACTACTGCAGAGAATGCGGAGAGGAAGAAGAAACCATAGAGCACCTGCTGTGCCAGTGTCCAGCACACCGTCCGGAATACCGATGTTTTAAAACTTTAGGGCAAGGTTTTTTGGAGGGACTAGAGGAAGCAGCAGAACCCAACATCAGCGACATCGGGAACTTTGCAAAGAACTGGAAATGATTTAACGCAAAGAAAAAATGATAGGAAGGTTTGGCACAACAATATTGGGGTATCGCGATGGGCCTAAGGCATCCGAGTGAGTGATTAAACATGATCCCAAACCCCAGCAACTTAACCTAGCTTGTTAGACACGTCACTATGTTATGTAAAATATAGTGACTTCTCTAAGTCTAACAGTCGACTGTAATATTGACTGTAGTGTTTTAAAAACTTAATGTTAAAATGGAAAACAAAGTCCAAACCACCTATAGTTTTCCATTTTAACATTAAGTTTTTACCATGGGCCACCACTTTGTGAGAATGAACAAACTTTATAACTTGTAGTGTTTTATATTTTAAGTTATCGATATTAACAATCATTTCTTTTAGAAAGCAAATCAGTAAAAAATGGCACTAAAAAGAACTAAATCTAAAGAAAAATAATATACAGGGTGAGTCTTAAATAAGTGCAAATATTTTCAGAGGTA